CCCCCCGCCCCCGAGCATACACATATGCCTGCATGGGACTTGACTTGGGAAAATAAAGCTATTTCCAGTCTCGTATACAGTAGCCCAAATACTGTGAGTTTTTGGTAACTCAGATACCTTGGGTTTTCCGCCCAGGGCTTGCTGTCTGCACCTCTGGGAGCAGTGCTGCTCGGATGACTTGGTGACTCCTGTGCTGCTGTCTTCTCTTCCAGTCGGGGGCAGTGAATGTCTGCGTTCGTACTGGAAGATGTACCTGCCCAAAGTGCTGTTGCTGATCTATGTCGTGGACTCGGCCGATCACGCCCGACTGCCTGTGGCGAAACAGCTGCTGCATCAACTGGTCCAGAACAACCCCACCCTGCCGGTGGTGGTTCTGGCCAACAAGCAGGTAAGAGTTCCCTGCTGCTAGCTGGGCTTGGGCTGGCAGCAGCTCTGACAACAGCAACAAACCCTTTCAAAGGAGGCTACATGGCTGGGAGCTGGGGGTCTTTCTGGTAAATCTATTGACCGCAAAAGAAAATAATCCGAGGTGGAGTTTTGGATCTGCAAGGTACAGGTCCTGTGCTCGGAGGTGGTGCAGTTGGAGCTGTGGGTGGAAATAATGGTGAGAACTGCTGTGGGGTTGCAAGGTTTGAGAGCTTTAAGGGAGGCCGCAGTTAGACCTGGAGTTAGGTTTCTGTTCTGAATGTCTGTCCAGAAGTACCACTTTACCTAGCCGCAGCTGCAAAGTGAAGCACCATTGTTTGCGTCCAGTTTGTCTGGTTGGTTGCTCTGAAGGCTGCTGCTGAAGCATGGGAGAAGAGCAGCTTTCTTCACAAGACAGTGCTTTCTCCCAAGACCTTTGTGAAAGTGTCAATGACCGGTGCTGTATCTGGAACAGAATTGTGGCACAGTCAGACAACAGAACAGCCCAGGGTTTTCAAGTCCAGATTTTATTTTGTGAGGACTGCATGCTTGATTTGCTCTACGTTGTTACCTCCTAAATTTCTAGTAACTTAGGCACGTTACTGGTAGTCACTTGTGTTACTCTTGAACTCAAGCGTAGGCTTTGGCTTCATCAAACACAAATGCTACTACTGATTCTCTGGGTCCCGGAGCCAGAAACGCCAGTGGCTGAGGAAGTACGCAGGGAAGGGCTGTTGCCCTGTTCTTGTAACTCTGGGCTGGGAGCCTGGGGTCTTGGGCCAGCAAGGCTTTTGTCTGCCTTGTGCGGGTAGTCTTACATTGTTATCAGAAACACTGGAATTACTAGAAACAGAACGGTACCTGTATTTCTTTGGGAAGAAATTAGGTTAAGGATAAACATATTTTTTCCCCCAAAACCATTTTAGGGCATGGGAACTTGACCTTGTAGAAGGTACGTAAGAATGGTGCTTCCAGAGCATTTGAGACCCCCTCCCTGGACCAGGGCAGTGGCTCAAAGCGGGAACGGTGCCACCACCTCATGCCACTAACCGGCTTGTTTTGTTTTTGTGCATCAGGACCTCAAAGGCGCATATTGCATCACCGACATCCACGATGCTCTGGCACTGTCTGATATCGGGGACGAGAGGAAGATGTTCTTGATTGGGACCCACGTGGCAGAGGATGGCTCCGAGATCTCCTCCAGCATGAAGGATGCCAAGGAGCTGATAGCGCAGCTGGTTTTGGAAACGCAGTGACAGCTCTTTTCCTGCAACGTGGTATTTGCAGCTGAGGGAGATGAGGCGTTAGTGTATGGGCAGTTTGCTGCATGGCAACTGAAATGTATAGATGTCTTTTCCTTGTGGGTGTGGAATTTGTATGAAAATGATGTCTAGTTGGTAAGAAAATCTTAATTTATAGCGGTTTGAAAATACATTTGAAAAGTAGTGTATTTTTTAGCATATTTGTAGGGGAAAATTAGTCTCTCAGACCAGCAGAGTTAAGGGCATGTGTAGCTTAGGTGGGCGGAGATGGCTTCTTGCCAGCTGTGAATCAGGCACTGACTTTGGTGGAACAAAGTTGTATCCAGTGTTTTTGACTTGGCTTGATGTCTCAGGCTTAAACTGAAATATCTTTGCCTCACAGGTTTTGCAGAACCCTGTTAGCAGTGTTGTTCTGTTAAAATCGAGACCTTGCTTGTTGAGAGTGTCAGAAATATAAAGTGCTGCAACTTGTGTTTTTGACAGTGACGATTTTTATTGTCACCGTATCAGAGCTGGCTTTTAGGGGAGTGGCGAATCGGTCATCTCTGGAAATTGGGTTGGTTACTGCTTCCGTAGTGGGTAAGAACAAATAAATGAAAGCGATGAGACGTGAGGTCTTTCTTTGCCCACAGGGGAAAAACCAGAGCAGTGTGACTTCAGATAGGGACTGAAACCGCTGAAGTTACTCTGGCACCAAGGGTGGGAGGCTCCTCTGTTGGGCGGAGCGGCTTCTTTCGCTTCAGTCCAGGCTGTCCTCGGGCAAGCGCTCTTACGCCTGAAAACCCTGTTGCTTTTTGCAAGTGGTTTCTGTTAGCGCGGCGGGTGAGGAAGACGAGCTGCTGACCGGCGTCGCTCTCCCAGCGCCCCCGTCGTCGCCCTCCACCAGCGAGACCCAGGATCCGGGCAGCTCCGTGAAGGACCTGTTCTGCAGCTACCTCTGTCTTGAGAGGACATTAACAGTTTTGTCCTTGGGAACCGATGCATAAAGCAGACAATTTTACCCTAACTGGTGGTCTGGGCTTCC